CCCCATTAGCTATTAGCCTGGTTTTCTAAAACAAAAAAACACCAAAGAGAATCCAAAACAATTCCAAAGCTAAACTCCCTTAAAATTAATACGCTTGCCCTACGGTTTTTTTTGCTTGAAAGCCACCTCAAACAAGGGGCCAGTTGACCATTACAGTGAAATGCCATAAAAACTTCACGGTTATTAAGGTCAACCCCATATAATACACGATTGGGGGACATATGTGTACCTCTCAGAGCTATCTGTGCAGATCTCCAGTTGAGGGGCAGGGCATTCTGCATGCTTGAAAGCTAAGTAGCAAGCAGCAGCCAGCCTGTGCGTGGCCACAGAGCAGCCTTACATACAGTAAGCTCATTTTGTTCATTATGGTGGATGAAATCGGGGACCACCTGGGAACTCTAAGGGAAGAGTATTCTTATAGTCTGTCACAGAATCCACTAATAAGGACCCAAAGCTCGTTAGTTCTGCTGTTTACAAGACTCCTCTGTTTTAGAATCATAAAATGGTTTGGGTTGGAAGGGACCTTAAAGATCATCTAGTTCCAAATCCTTGCCCGATTTAACACTGTCCTCTTCCCAAGACGATAAGGGACAGAGGAGTCTGGGACACAATGAGCTCGTTGTCACAGATGCCAGGTAACCACACTGAGAAGTGTGATAAGTCCATAGTCGTAATATGAGATATACACACGTTCCTCTTAGTCGCATCTAAGCTATTGGTAAAAAGCTACAAGAAGATGTTTAACTGATGTCAACACCATGTGAACAGCTGCCAAAATCACTCACTGATTTTCTAGAGGAATTGTTTTACTTCACCAATGCTAATGATCCCTTTCCAAAGATAGTTAAAGACATAAATTTTTGATGATTTTCTTTTAGTTGGCACCATCAACAATCCTTCTTAAATGTTCTTACAATTCTGTACGTAGAAGAAATTGAAATGAGTCATTTATTTGCTTATACTTTTCCTTTGGCAAGTCCAGGTGCCCTTTTGAGTATCAGTTTAACCTGGATATATGTTTAATCCTAGATTATACTGAGAGACTGCAAATGCAGCATGTTAAATTCGTATAGCTGACTAAAAACATCCAGGACAGACCTTTTCAGAATATCTGATATAGCATACACTAAAATCATAATCACTGCAATCCACCTCCTAGAAATGGTGTTCACATCCATTCCACCCAATTTGAAAGAGCAAAACAAACAGAATTGTGAAATGAACTTTGAGCAGAGATGAACTTTTGTTTGTGAATGGTCTGATCAGAACATATAATGTACATATATTCATAAATGCTTCTGCTGAGATTTTGCTAAACCAACAATCATAATAGCCTTAGCTGCTACAGCTAATAGATAAAATGGTTACAGAAGGTTAAATGTGCTGATGAAGTTGAGAATGGTGGAAGATGTACAATTAATTCTTAGTGAATAACCAAGGAAAATTTATTAAAAAAGGGAGAATGTGTGTAATAAGAATGGAGCACAAACACCTGGATAAGGGTACAGAAAGACACCAGAAAAGGCTTAGACCAAACTGCTTGATCACTTTATAATAGTAAGATAAAAATATACATACAAATACGTGTGACTTTTAAAAAGCCTGGGGGATGTTGTTTTATGAAAGTATTGAGTATACATAAGTATCACATATAGCTGTCATCACCTTGTCAGAAAAAACACATTATGGCTGTGCCTGCCTGACAATAAACACATCCAAACACTTGTAACAGGACTGAAGCTCGACACTGGTTCCAGCAGGAAGGACACCAAACTTACGTGAGGTGTATAGCCACTCAGAAAGCACAAGTACTGTTCTCTGCTCTACCAACATAGCTGGCAATAACAGTCTAAACTCAACAACCTGTTTTTGGTACTTTGGTATTTACAAACAATTGTAAAACAATCTGTCTGCTTCATCTGACAGCACAATGCAGATGTGCTACGACACCCTTTCACAATTAAAAAAAATAGTTCTTAATACTTCTTAGCAGGTATAAGAAATAAATTGTTCTTCAGTGGAACATTACGTTTGTCACTTGGCCTTCTCCCAACTTGGATAGTATGTCTTACTGGATAACAGGATTTTAAAAAATAGTTAAGAGGTGATATTTTACACCATGATTTATGTACCTATGAAGAAGGAAGAGCAATGAAGATGAAGAAATTGTATACATTTCTCTAGAGAAGTTTCAGATTTTTTTTTCATACAAAACTTAATTGTACAATAATTTATGTTTTGAAAAGGCCAAGGTCAGCATTTTAAAATCTAATATTAAAAATAAGTATTATATTATTAAGTCTACTACATATCCATTAAGATGATTTGCTATTTTCACTCCTTATCCATTCAAAAGGGGAGAAATTTATAATCTGTTAACAAGTTTTAAAGACATCACTCTGCACTACACATCTAATTTAACATTCACCAAGGTGAGTATGAGTGGAACAGATATGTGAAAAAGTTGGTGACAATTCTAATTGCTGACTAAAAAGACAGGAGTGGTTTAAAATATAACTAAACTATAAATACTGAGTAAAAAGTTCTGTATTTTTATATTGTATTAATGTTTTGATTGTCATTAACTGTCTAAGATTGAAAACACTAACAGAATTCCAGGTTCTAGTCTGGAAATTTCAATGCAACTGAGTCTCACAGCTTCTTCATAAATAACTGAACTTCAATGAAAAATAATATTCAGTCAATCATTTTTAGACAATCAAAAAAAATGCATGTGACATTCTGAGGCATTTAATCCACAAAAGTGGCATTTATCAATAATACATATTGAGATAGTATTCTCAGACTGAAAGGTGACACAGAGACTTTAAAGCTTTGTGTTCTTTAGAAGTGATTGAAAAAAGACCCAACATGGAAAAAACCCCAGCACGATACCAGTAGGAAGGAATGAAATGTCACTGGTCTCTGGAAGCATTACAAAAGTGGGAGATTCCTACTCTGCAGGCAGGGATCGTTAAATGCATCTTCTCTCACAAATACATGAATCCATTAAGATAAAGCAATAATCACTTATAAGAACTAAAACTGACTGGATTTTATCCTAAAGCTAAGTTTCTCAAAGTCATCACGTTCGTTTGCAAATTATTTTCTTAGCTAAAAAAGATCAAGGACTGTAATTTTAATTTTCAGAAAAAAAAAAACGGAATTAAAATGCCATGCTACACTTCTAATTCTGGCAAAAATAACAACTGCAAGCTCCGGAAAAGGAAATCACAATGCTTGAAATGTAAGCTACAGTTTGATATTAGTGAATAGCATTTTCCTAGATTTTTTTCTTGACAGTGTTAAATCCTTTTCTGCTGACACTTAACTTATTCTCTTTCTTTGGATACTATTGATTATTCCATCGATTGCTTCACAAAGTCATGAAATAAAATGGGAATAATATTTTGAAATATGATAATTACCCTTGATGAAACATATATGTTTCCTTGATGAAACATATTTCTACACAAATGCTACTTCTGTGTTTAAAATGTTTTGCAAAGAGCAACATATACTCAGTTATAACTATGACGTATTTTAGGCACAAAGACTTTCTGGCCCATGTAGAAATAGCACTTTTCCCTCATGATCAGGGAGCTGTGAATTCTAAACAACAGCAACAATAAAAGGATTTGAAGAAATACTCGCAATAATATAATTTTCAATACTTTTGCATCATTTGTACATGGTCAATATAGAATGGTTGAAGCGTTAAGTATTTCTAAAGGCAAGCAGCAAGAAGAAGGGTTATAAATTTTCAAACAGGCCCCAAATTTTTAGCCATGGTTCAACTTCAGAACCAAAGGGCAAACGAATTTATTACCTTCTGAGGATTTACAGATGGCCTGTAATTGAGGGCAGGTGGGAACCCAATTCTGACAACCATTAGAGCTCTTAGTGCTCTCAGCGAGCACGGGATAGAAGAGGCTTTTGTTTGGACAGATCGTTTGAAGCCAGAACCCAACCAGGGTGATGCAGCGCGTTGCATCTGTTGTGGTGACAATCGGCTCCTCTTTTCTGGGCAAGAAAAGGCAGCGAGGCCAGGGCAGGCAGAGGCCACCCCAGTGCGACCGCTCTGCCAGGGGCTGGGACGGCTTCACCAGCAGGATGGATGTGCTGACGGCAACATCTCAGCCGGATGCGCCGATGGCAGCGATGGGACACCGGGGGCATCACCTGCCATTCACCGGTCACGGTGCCATCAAGAACCAACGTCCCCCGCCCCCACGGCATAAACGCGTCCCCTGTCTCGCGCAAAGCCGGGTGCAGTCGGAAGCTACAGGGCAACTACGTTCCTTCTGCCCCGGCCGGGGTTACCGGCCATCCCCAACCTCCTCATGCCCAAACTCCTCAGCCCCGGCCGCCATGGCGCCCGCCCCGCCTGCAGGGGAAGGGCGGCGCCGCCAGCGCCAGCACTGCGCATGCCCAGGCCGCCCGCGCGTGCGCCCCGCGGCGGCTCCGTTCATTCTAAGGGAGGACTAATTCTGGCAGGACGCGCGGGATGGGGCAGAGGGTTTCCTTGCTCTCAAAGCGCGACCCCGGGGCCCAGCCGCGGGATGTGGCGGCCTCCAGCACTGCCACCGCTCCGTAGCCGGCCAAGCGCCAGTCCCCCCTGAGCGCTCCCTCCGAGCAGCGCGCACCCACCTGCAGCCAACACCCGTAGCTCACCGACCGCTCTGGCCCACCCTCCGCTGCAGTCGCACCAACAGATTGGGGCCTTCTGGTGTCATTCTCTCGCTCCTTGCGCTCGGAATGGCTCCGCCGGCCGTCAATCCAGGGCAGAGCCCGCCCATCTCCGCGAGCTGGTTCCTCCCCGACGGCACCACGGGTGTAGCTCCGCCGCAGGCACCGCCTTTCCCCTGATAGGCCGGTACCTGGCGCATTCCCCTGTCACTCATGGGGTGCTCTGACATCGGACTGGTCGTGGTGCCTCGGGGGCGGGGCCTTCCGTCCCTCCCGCACGCCGATAGGCTCCCGCCGTGTTCGAGGGGTGGGTCGTGGCGGGGCCGGGTGGGCCGGGGCCGTGAAGGGCCATGGGCAGCGTGCGCTGGGCTTTCCCCTGCGGGGCCTGGCGCCCCCGCCGCCGGGAGTGGCTGCTGGCCGCGCAGCTGGTGCAGCCCGAGGAGAAGGACCGCATCGGCCAGTTTGTCTTTGCTCGCGATGCCAAAGCCGCCTTGGTACATGGGGGCACGGGGACGTGGCTGTCTCTCTGCAGGTTGGGCATTGCCCAGATGTCTGACTCCTCGTAGGAATACGTGCTCTGCAAGGGCATTTCGGGGAAGTAATGCATCGTAAAGTACAAAGCTTGATGCGTAAAGTATGCAACTCTTCTTTGCCGCGGAGCAAAAAGAGATGTTTGCAGTCTGCTGTCAGTAGTTCCTGTGAAAGACTTTATAAGTTCTGTGTCGGGGTGTCAAGTTAGGAGACAAAATCAGTGTACCCTGGGAGACTGTACCTAAGACAGCAGTGTAGTGTGTAAGAGAATAAAGCTATTCTACACGATTCAGGTTTTAAATCTCACATCAGGATGTGTTAGTAATACAGACCTGCTAATTTGTGTGTAAGAAGTTACCCGTCACTTTCAGCTGCTCAGTATTTCATTTAGCGCCGAAGTAATGGAGTGGCTGTACTGCAAGGAAGGCTTGAGACAGTTACCGTTCAGGGTGGTGTAAAAATGTTATTTGTGCCATGAAGTATCCTAAGCAAGTAAACAAGGTAGGGAAAGGAACTGTTTTTGTGATTCTTCTAGGCTGGGACTGCTTTTGGGTCTTATGTTGCCTCTGTGCTAATAGTGATAATAAATGTATTTGATACTCAGGTCTGGTGAACTCGTGCTTTGTAGACACAGGCTTTTATAAAAGGGGGAAATTTAAATTATTCAGCTAAAATACGCTCTTACTTTGTATCAGCAATAATAAAGCCATATTTTTCAGGCAGGTGGTTTTCTAGCAACCAGGGATATTTTGCAGATAGCATGATAGTTCTGTATGAATCACTTCCATTTTATTTCATAGGCTGGTCGCCTGCTGATGCGGAAATTAATTGCAGAAAAGATGTGCATACCTTGGAATGAAGTACACTTACAAAGGACATCAAAAGGAAAACCTTTCCTGGCCAATACTATAGTCAGTATCAATTCGAATTACAACTTCAATATCTCTCATCAAGGAGATTATGCAGTCCTTGCAGCTGAGCCTGAGCTTCAAGTGGGCATTGATATAATGAAGACTAATTTACCAGGTAATGCATTATTCTGACCAAAATAGATTCTGTAGCGTTTGAGTACTGAACATTTTCACATTTCCCAAAGAACTAATCTGTGTCCTAGAAATTTAGTGTAATTAGAAAAGAGTGTGCGCATGTATGGTTTTTTTAATTGTTAAATGCATTCCTCATTGTTTATTTCTGTTATGACAAATATAAATCTATTTCCCATTTAGAAAAGCAGGACCCTGGAAAAGTAAAGTCATGAATTGTGCTATGATACTGGAAGGATCAGCATCTGCAGATAATTATGGATTATTAATTATGGATTTTCTGTCTCTTAGGTAGAAGCAGGGATGACTTTCCAACTAGTGACAGTGGGAAATTTTTTTTTCTTAGTAGAATCACCTGAAACTCCTTTTTTATTTCTATGCTATGAATATATAACACTGACTTTACCAGTATTGTTTTCTCTGATAGTTCCACTGAGTGGTGCTCTTGTTCTGCAGTTGCTGAGTACATTAGATTTCAGAGGGTGAATCCACTATAAATCTGTTTCTCTGGAACAGCTACAAGGACAAAGATTTCTCTGTGTGCAAAGTACATTACAGTAGGTTTGTTTGGTTATTTTTCAAATGCTTGTTTAAATACAAAGTACTTTATTTTGTGATGTTATCCAACAGAATCTTGATTGAGGTCTCCACTGTTCTAGTTCTTGTATTCCTTTATTGCTCCACCAGTGAAGATGCAAAATCTGCAGTGCAGATATACAAGAGAGTATCATGCAGCTGAAAATTTTGAGAATTCTGCTATTTAATTGTGTGCTAGTATGTAACAAGGAGTCCTGGTGCACGTAAATATTTTACGTCACTACTTAATCCATGCTATCTGTTTTTGTTTTACTTGTGAACAATAAGAAGCCTCCTCTTTCCATATTACTTCTGCTTCATTATTAAAATGTGAAAAATGAAACTACTGGAAGATGCAGACTTCTTCAAAGGTGAAGGTGGGCCACAAGAGAAACTGTTTTTAGCACTGCAAATAGAGACAGTTCTACAAAAGTTCCTCACCTTTTTTCAAGGTGATGTTGATTTACCAGTCACTTAAACTTTCAAAGTAGAACATTTTCAGAGACTTAGGAAATAATTATAGCTTAATAAAAATTGCCTGGAGCACTTAAAAAAAGTTTGGATTCTTAGGTTCAAGAGCTTTCTTGCTGTGCAAGTGAATTTCTCTTCAGTAATGCAATTTTTTAGCTTAGATGGATTGCAAAGGTAAATAAACTAACAATTCTTTCTCTATCTTTCATAATCAGCCTGCAATTTTTCTTACCTATCACATTATAGTTACTTTGATCTGGACATGTCTAATCTCAATGTTCTTCCAGAATTAAGTATTTTACGGCAATAAAAATCAACTTTTCTCATTAATATTTTGGTTTTATGTTAGGCTTGCATATTAAAAGACACAAAACAGTAAATTTTCTGTATGTGAATTTTACAGAAAAATTCATTTGATCTAAGAAAATACTCCATGAAATGCTCTTTTAAGGAAGTAGTCTATTATGTGCAAACACCTGATTGACACTACTTTTCTCTGAGGCAAATAAATATAAACAGAACTTGACTCATTTTTCTCTTTTTATTCTCATTATTTCATCATTGAGGTGAGATTATGCAAGAGATGATAGAGGTCCTCAAATGAGAGATGTGTCACACATGAATCGGGATATCTAAGTACCACACAAAGAAGCTAAATACCGTGCTTCAGTCTAGCTAAGGGAGGAAAGCTCTCTTGTCTCTCTCTGTCCAGATGGTTAAAAGCTTTATGCTGTTTGTTATGGTAGCCATAAGCTAAAGTGAGAGTTAGGCACACCTACATCATAGTTAACATACTTGGCATGTGTTTTAGGTAGCAACCATGCTCGATTTTGGAACTTGCAATGCTTTTCTAATTGCTACTTTTCAGTTTTTTCAGTAGGAATTTCCTAACCTTGGAAGAAGTACCAAAGCAGATTGTTCTTTGGAGTGCTTTTGCCCTTACCGTGCCTTAACTTTACCTTAAACCAAATTTTATCTGGTTTTGTTTTTATTGTTGTATTTCAGTAAATCTCATAGTGGCAATCAGCAACTAAGCTTTTGCTGCAAGACATAATCACCAAATTCTTAGTGAATGCTACAGCTTTAGATATGTAGATGCGCTGTTTGGGATGAAAAAATTAACAAAGGATTCAGTTTAAATGTTACTTGTAATTGTTCAAAGAAGTCAGAATTTATAAATATGTAAGAACATAATTTTTCAATGTGAAGGAGTGTTAAAACAACTGATATTGTTGTGGAGCTAAAGAATCATAGTGGTCATATGCACTTACACTGAGTAAACAGGGAGGCATTTCTTTGTTCTTGTTCTGTTTGAAACTGGGAAGAAACAGCCATCTTAAGCATACTCTTAAAAAATACCTATTATTTTATAGCAGTTTCATTATTGTCCTTTATTTAGTCACGTTTCTAGCGCTGTTTTAACCTGAAATTACATAATTTTGTAATGAGGCACCAATGCTTGATAAACTGTGAAAGAAAAATTTGTTATTCTGATTAAATCTCCTCTTTAAGGAAAAATGAATTTTTTTTTTTCTGAAGAAACCATCTTAATCCTTTGTGAGTCTTTCTTTAATAACAAAGCATAAAACCATTTGGATTAAAATATAAACAATAGCAGAATTTGGAACAGTAAAAATTAACCTGTGTAGAGTATATATATTTAAAATAAGGAATAAATTAGCAATAAAGAAAGCAAAAAATTTAAAACCAGGTGATTTTAATAAAAATAAGAGGTGGGACAAAGAGCAAATATAAGAATGCTTGTCTGATTGTTTTTGGGTTTTGGTGTTGTGGGGTTTTTTTCCCTTCTGCACACTGAATTTAAAATAAGCACAGTTTATTCCTTAACTGGTCTGTTGGGAAATTAAGTTATACATTCACAATGAGGTGTTAAATAGAATAGAATTTATTTTTTTAAGAGAACTAAAAGTACGTCTCAGCCTGCACTAATGACAGTTAGCTTTGGCATTCCAAATTAAGAAAGTCTAGCAGAAAAATGTGACGTGAGGGCTAAAGTTAAGTAATTACTATGTAGGTATTAAAAATGTGCTTTTTGAGGAGTTTTTTGCTAGCGCCACCCATTTCCAATAGCTTCAGCTCTACAGATACATATTTTGTTGCAAGAGTTGAAAAATAGAAAACGTCTTTGTTCTGTGTAGTCAAAAGTTTATTTGGATGTCAATACTCTGCAAGTATTACAGTTTGGAGCTCATATTGATTTCAAGGTTGGGAGACAATGTTTTAGAGACAGACTTGAGATTTTTAAACTGACTTATGAAATGGTAGAAACTTATCTTAAGTATTTCACATCTTTCCTCAGTAACTGTAAAAAAAATAGCCTCAGCTGCATTTACATGATGTATTTCCTTCCTAAGAAAAATTCTGATTTTCAACAGGGCAAATGATTTTATGTTTCCTCAATAAAGATGGCAGGTTGCTGTTGTCACATCAGGCTTTCAGGAAAGTTTAGGACCAGGAGACTTCTTCTACTTCCATGAGTAGCTATTTGCTTGCCATTTATTGGGTTGGTGCTGTGAATTCTAGGTGTTCGTGGCTGTTACGTGCTATGTTGCATTTTAATGGAAAATCCAATTTTGTAGGGCATTAAAACATTATTACTTGTCCTGTTTGTTCATCAGACTTGAGTTTTGTATTAAATATGTATATCTTACTTTTTTTCTTCCCTAGTTAAAACCAATTTAATAAAAGTAAAGCAAACACTTAGAGATTGTATCCACAAGACTAGATATAACTGATAGAGGTGAATGGGCTATTGAAGTTCATCAGTTTTTCAGCTGTGGGCCATCCTCTGCTTTTGCCATGTTGCAGCACATTTATCTTCCTCTTATATCTTTGCTTCTGGGTGGATAAAAGATGGCTCCTGCAGTGGCAAAGTTGATTTGTGTGTTGGTAGGGGAAAGGATGTGGGGGAACAGCTTGTGGGGGAACAGCTGACTGCTGTCACTTCTCAGTGGAATAACCAAACAAAGCAAAACATGCTGGATTTAGCTCTCAAGTGGGACAGTCTTTCAGCTGCTGGCAAGCCAAACAAATGGGTTTATAAGATTTGGGGGTTTTGGTTTGGTTTGGTTTGTTTTTTTAAAGAATGTGCTTAGTGGTCACTTTCACTGTTACTGATTGATTCCCAAATTTAAAACACTAATACCTTTTCTGTCATCTTGTGGGATTTTTTGGACTTTGTTTTGAAGGGGGAAATGGGGGAGGGATAGTATACAAACAGAGGTGGGGAAGTTTTAAGTGTGAAAATGATAAGGGACATTTTTACTTCATCTGGCAGTGAGATTTGTGTTCTGGGACAGGATTCTGTGGAGTGTCCCAGTTTCTACCATTACAAGGAACTCTGTTGTTCAGTGGATTCATTACTGAAGTAGGATATCATAGTGTAGAAGGACATAGTCCTAGAATATGGGATTTCTCATCAGACTTCTTCAGAGAAACCCACTCAGTTTGAATAAGCTTGTGCTTTCTAAGGTCGCACAGCCTTCCCAGGAGGGGAACAAATTGCATTAGTCAGATCAAGGAGGTGTTAGAAACTGTGGGTCATGTAGTGAAATTCATATGGAAGATGAAGATGACTTAGGTACTGAGAATTGGCTTTCCCCCTCCCAGTTTTGTCGAGTATAACATTTTGTATAACAAGTACCAAATGGATTCCAGTGCACCCTCATGTACTGTGGTGATACTTTTTAAAGATGAGACTGCTCTCCCGATAAGGACACTTTCACTGAAGCACCTACCTTTTCCTACTTGATAAACTGAAAGGAAAATTTGATACTGTGATTAAATATAATTTTTTTTTTTGCTTTGTCTGTTTTTTTGGAATAATAAATTGTATTGAGTGGTAGGTTTTCTTTAAAATGTTAATTTTTAAGCAAAGGATTAATTACCAAAGGTTTTGGTCAGTGTAATCTTTCTGAATGTATAGAAAGGCCCTTAGTATGTTATGGCATAAAATGTAATATCTGAGAGTTCTGGTAGTACTACTGGTAGTACTGTAAGGTTATAGATACTCGGATATATATGTGGGAGCTCTTGCACTAGCAACGTTTTTGTTGTCTTTGAAGGAGTATCAGAAGACGTAGTTAGGAAAATGTTGTGTTCCTAAATGTCTGTAACTTTTAAAGACATCTGAGCATGTTTGACTTTTTTGATTTTTCCAATTACATCTGTAGTTGGGTCCTCACAACTTGCTTTATAAAAGTACATTTTTATGTTTATTTAGATTTTGGAATTTTGTGCATATTTTTAGTGTGATGCATCACAAGTGTTGGAAGGAAGAAGAGTTCCTGCTGTTCTGACAGTGAAATGATTGCTTTAACTGTTTGATGTGTTCTGTAATGGAAAACTCATTAAATGCCATTTTCATGGGGTAATTTACCTTTTTGCTGAAATATTCTAGCTACCCAGAGCTCCGTTAGTTGTGGAAAGCCCTTAAGCAGGTAAAAGGTATAATCATTGACAAAGGCAAGTTAAGAATAGGTTTCTTATATTATTACTGCTCATTACTATTTTTGCTATTACTGTTTAGTTATAAGTACATTTCATTAAAAGAATTTGGGGTTCCTGAATTATCTTAGTGATTAAGACCCTGTGTATTTTAAACACTTTTATTTTCTCTACTCAGAAGCAAGCTAAAACCATGAGCTTGCACCCAGGTGTGTTTATGTCTGCAAGCTCTTCAATGGCAAGTATATGTTACACTTGAATGTTTGGAATAGAAAGAGTGTGTAAAAGTATGCTGGAGTCTGAACGAAATTTGAGAGCATCTGGCTTTTTTTTTTTTAGATATTTTCAGAAAAAATGACAAAAAGCATAAATATGTTGCGGATCGTACACTACTTGTCTGTAAATTGATCGGATATGAGGTATCCAGTTAACAACTTGTGATTTTCTTCATGGTTTTTTTTATCCAAGTCATAGCTGTGTCAAAACAGTCATTTCTCCAGTGAAGTTTTGGAGGTAGGGGTGTCTAAGCCATAATGACACTGTTTTCTTTGGTTTGGCATTGAATATCAAGGCAGCTTGCTTAAATGTTCATCACTGCTGTTAGACTCCACTACAGTAATATGATTGAAACCTTAGCAGTTTCTCTAATATTGAAAAGACTTAATAATTCTAACTGCAGAGAAAATATCAAACATTATCAAATTATTTCAGTCTCTTTATGACTTTTCCGTTTTTACAATCTGGGAAATGTTGAGTAATTCATAGGAAGCAATATCAAATTTTCAGCCATGTTAAAGTTAGTGCTGTTTCTCTGAGGTACACCAAGGTAGTACATGTCAATAGTTACGTGACGAGAATGAATGTTTAACATACATATCATTTGGAGAATTGCAGGATATTGGTAGGAAGTGTAGAGGTCAGAGAATATAAATCCAATTTCCAGTTCACAGTAAAGCTGCATGAGCTAGTAGGTTGAAAAAACATGCTTTGTTAATATTCTGTCTGGTTCTTCTAAGTTAGTGATTTAGCTACTTAATTATTTGCCCTGTGTTGTCAGTTTCTAAACACCTGTACCAGGGTTAGTGGGTATTAAAAGAATTAGGGCTTGGGCATTTGTTGCAGAAAAAATGTTTTCTCTGTATCAGTTCACTTTGATTTCCTTTAGAGACAGTAAAATAAGATCGAATATGGCTTGTGTCTACACCAAAAGTACTGCCAAACCAGGAGTCCAGGGCTTGAAACATTCATCTGATACAGTTTGTTAGTTTGCAAGATTCATAGCTAGCCTGCGTGTTTCCTGTTGTTAAGTAGATTGATCTGTTCCTGGTTCAGTTCTTCATTTTCCTAGGTAGTACGTGTCACACTACCACTTTGCCTATTTACCATCTGAAAGTAAAACAGGTATTGATTAGATATTAGTTCTTGATCACTGACGTGTTTCTTCTATGCAGTTTGAGGCAGTGAGGAGGCTGTTAGCGTTCTGTGGGGTTGTACTGTATTTTTTGGTCTGAGTGCTTGTTTGGGTTTGTTTTTCTTTGTTTGATTTGTTTTTTCAGGGGATTAGTGGATCAATGAAGTGGCAGTGGTAGCTTTTAGATCTGAATTTCCATAGTTTGGGATATAGATCACAGGATAAGCTAGATAGTTTTTGGCACTAACAATTTGAACCAATTGTGACCCAAACACTTGGAAAACTGTAAACCTGGTAAAAACCGAATTGGAGACAATCTACTCTTTTCACTATTTTTGAGAAGGCATGTCTTTATTTTAATAACTTTGGGTACAAGTTCGTACCCTGCCTTTAAATGTACATTGTATTACCAAAGTAGACCTATGATTGACCTGATGTTTGTTAACAGTGTAAACAAAGTAGTATGAAGATTTCTATATTAGCCCCCTGAATAGCAATCTTTGCTGTTAATAGCATCATAATTTACATGGATCTTATTTCTAATTGTCTTTTATCCTCCTACAAATGCAACTTGTTTGGCTTCTTTAGCAGGTAGAGAAATGGGGGAAATTACTCTGTATTTATGTGCTATTTCTAAAACACATATGAATACAGAACTAGAGAGCATAGTATGTTTTGTTACTTTTCACTCCTGCATCTTTTTAAAATCAGTCTTTTATATCTGATCTAAAGGGATCAGATATACAGGTTTTGCTGTTCTAAAGGGAAAATGCAAAGCAGATTTTTTTTCCCAGTCTTTAAAAAAAATTGATAAAATACCCAGTTCTCATTGCAGTAGAAAAGATGGCATTATGTATTCCAATGTAAATAGTTATTGCAAAAAATCCAAAATGCACACACATATAAACATGCTCATTTATCTGTATATAGCATGTTTACTTTCCAGGCTTAATATTGGATTCTTTTTCCTGTATCACTCAATATTTCCCCTCCTCACTCTTCCTGAAATTTTCCCAAGTATTGCGTGTTTTTAATTTAATGAAGAAACTTAACTTTTGGGTTAGTTTTTTTTTGGTTTTTAATGCATAGAAGGCAGTTTTTGAAAGACTACTCAGCTTATACTCTTAGAGATCTAACGTGCTTAAAAGTTTATTAACAGGGAATAATAGTTAAGCAATCGCCTTCACAACTGTGTTAATTTTACATTTAACTTTTCTGGGAACTACTTTCCCAGAACTACTTTCGTTTCAGATGTGCATTAGGATGTGATAGGAATGTGAGGCTTAAGTGTTTGTGGATTAAAGAAATTGAATGAAAATATGATTTGGTCTCAAGGATATTCCTTCTAGCTTGTCTTGTGAATATCAAAGTAATTTGGACACCAGCTGTAGGAGTTGGTCAGAGATTTACTGTGTGTCATTTCTCTGTTGGCTAGTGTTCCCTAAAAAGTAAGTTAATGAGTGTTATGGGAAGGAGGCAGTGCTAAACATTCCAGGGAAAAAGTACTTGTTAAAATTAGGCCACTGAATAGCTAAACCATCCAGTCAATTTTGTCTAATGCAAATGAAAGTACAGGTTTGTATTTCTTAGGCAATTAGATACTGGGAGAAATTTTTGTTGGTTAACTGAATATTATGAAAGGAAGCTGTAGTATGTTTTGGTTACATTTATTAGAGTTCTCTTCAGCAAGATGATCCAATGTAAAAACAAAAACTACTTCCAGTATTCAGAGCACACATACTCAAGTGTGAAGTTTACAGCAGGTTAGAAAAATGCTTTTAGAATATTAGCTCTTATAATCAAATGCAAAAAAAAAAATCCACAACAGTTTGTGTGAAGGTAAGAAAAGAAGTGAATTATAAAAGCATATACAAATGAAAATGTGTTTTAAAATCAGCAAGGGCAATAAAATTGTGCTCAGCATTTAAAAGAGTTTGTTTCTCAGTTTGTATTGAAAAAAAACTATGTAGATTTTGAAGAGTTCTGTTTCTTGGCATGGGTAAGTAAGAAGTATTTATTTAAGACATGAGTTCTGAAACAAGTTGACAAATAGGAGGTACTTTAGAAATATAAATTTAAAACCAAGTGAATAATTGCTGTATGAAAGTTGTTTCCATTCTTTGAAAGAAAGTTTTTGTAACCTGAGGCAAGTACATTTGAGGCAGTTTTTTTGTTGTGGTTTTGGTTGTTTTTTTTTAAATTGAACTAGAAGCAGAATAGCATTTGAATGGAAACTTTCTACTGCTTCTAGTTTTGTCTCCATCATACCTGCCAGGTATGATTACATATGGCATGGTAAACTTGAAGGGGTTTAGTGAAGGGATCACCAAGGTGATTAGAGGGTTGGGGAACTTGACCTGTATAGAAATGCTGATGGAGCTGTGTTTGTTTGACCTGACCAGGGGAAAGTTCTTAGGAGAGGAATCACCACAGTATGCCTGAAAGGTAACTGTAAGGATGATTTACATAATTGTCTTCATGAGCATGAACAGTAACAGGGCAAAAGGCAACAACCTCAGGTTGATTCAGGGGGAATTACATCTCTGTAGAACAGTTCTTCACCATGAGAACAGTAAAGCACTGGACTAAGTTCCCCAGAGAAGAGGTGAAATACTCTGCTTGACAGGGCCCTGGGTAACCCAACGTAAGGCTCTGGTTTTCAGCAGAAGGTCAGACCAGGTGATCTTCAAAGATCTCTTTCAACCTAAATTTTCCTCATAATTCTGTGAATCTTTCTCTGATACTGAAGCGAAGATGGAGAAGTGGACTAGGCAGGCTGCAGTACTGCTAGTAATTTGTGGAGAATAGTAGTCCTAGGTCCTCTAATCTGATCCATTCCTTAGAGCAAAGCAACTGTATTGCAGTAAGGAGATAGGAGGGGAGTGCACTTAAGGACAAAGTGGTGCCTGAGCTTTTCAGAGGAAGAATGTGACAAATGACTGGAGTGGATGGGAAAGTACTATGTAAGTCTGAACAAAGTGTCAAGAAGGGTAGCACCTTTCAAAAAAAGAAGTCAGATAATGAGGGGAAAAAAACCCAGTAGCATATGGGTTTGATATACACTTAGTGTACTAAACAGTTAAAATCTCAAGCACATTCACTATGTGTGATAAAGTTTAGATGGCAGGACTGACAGTGCAGGAGTCTTTATATGCCTCTGGGTGCTGAAGGTAGTGTGGATAGTCTTGGGTGGTTTTCTCAGATAGTGTGAATAGCCCTGGATTATTGAAAGCAGGAGAGCTCTCTGAAAATGATGATGGAGGAAAGGTTCATCAGGACATTCTGGAATGTTTTATAGTTGGAATCACAAGAAGAGGCTGGAGCCTTACCACTGTTGTCTTACATACTCCAGTAAAGAAGAGAATAGAAAAAAAAAAGTGGATTGTTTGGAGCAGGTATTAACATAGTTATTTGATTCTAAAATCACAATTATTGAGGCCATGTTACTGAGAACACAGCTGCGATGGGCAGGGCACGTCTCCAGGATGAAGGACCACCTCATCCTGGATCTTGCTTTATGGTGAATTTGCCACTGGCTGCCACAAGAGAGGAACCCCAAAGAGAAGATACAAGGACTCCCTGAAACAACATCTCAGCCTTGGCCATATTGATCACCATAACTGGTCTACTCTGGCCTCCAATCGGGAGGTCTGGAGACACACCCTCTATAACGCTGCTGATGCTTTTGAGAAAGCACACAGGATCACTCTCGAGGAGAAAAGACAACGCAGAAAGAGTTGTGCCTTGCAGAACTTACCACCTAAGGAGTCTTTCTGCTGTGCCTTTTGCAACCAGACGTGCCTGTCTCATATTGGCCCTTTTAGCCACCAACACACTTGTGACAAAGATGGGTAGAGCCCTTCCCAAATCTTCGGTCGCGAAGCCTGGCCATGATGATGATTCCAAAATGGACCATATAAACACAGATGAAAGAAAATACATTTCTCCAAGTTCAATAAATCTTTTTGTGATTTTTCATTGTTTCAGGCAAGTGGGATTGTGTAAGTAGATGGATATGGCATTTGTCTTCATCAAAGCATACTTAGCACTGTGGTTGCTTTTCTCTCCCCAGAGAGAAAAGTTAGTTCTGCCCTTAGATTGTTCTGAATCATTCCATTAACTGACTACTGCAACTGTAAACAAAATTTCAGTCTTAAGATGTTTTCTTCACTTTATAAATTCAGTTGAGGTCATCTCTGAAATGTCACTGCTATGTCTTGTGTGATATCTGTGTCAGGTAACACTTTGTGGTGTGATTTGGAAATTGTGAGAAAACCTGAATGTTCAGATCAATGATTACTGCTGTCAATACCTGTTTTTATTTAGTGCTTAGATATCTATAGAAGACAGCACTTTATAGAGAAGGGTTAATACCCTTATCTTTGATTTAAGATGGCAAACACTAGTGTAGGGAAAGAAAGTGCCTTCCCAGTAGTCAACTCACAGAATTACTGGCACAGGTGTAATTAGAATCTGCCCCTTTTTTAAGCCATTATCTAGTGATGGGTTCTTAAAAGTGGCGTGGTATTAGGAGGGCTGGCTGTTTTTTAGATTAAATATGACTAATATTTTTTTTAATAAGAAAATTGAAACAAATTTTTGATAGGTTATGCAATAAGCGGAACTGTCTCTATCCAGACTTTTATTATCCCTACTAAAGAAAATAGATTGTTTTCTGCCATTGTCTCTTTAGCCAGCAGTAAGCCCAATTGGACAGATTGCATGGTATGCTAATTAATATAGGCTCTTGGGTGAGTAGCCAAGCATGTAATGAGGTCCATAACTCCCAGTATATTATAGAAATGCCATTGATCAACATAACCGCACATTCTGTAGTGTCTTCTACACTAGTGGGGAAAAGTGAGATAGCCCCTGAGGAAGCTTAAATTTAATCTAAGGATTTGAAGGTTTAGTGGTTTGAGGTTGGTTTTTTTAGGGGGGATTTTTCTTTTTCCTTGGTGTATATCTTACTGTTATTATGGCCACCCCTCTACCCCCATTTTCCTTGCAGAATAAATCCGGTCCAAAAGGCTTAATATGTATGTGATAACTTTGGGAGACTATGTTCTACAAGTGCTTAAAAAAGAGTTTCTTTTGTATCACAGCATCCTAGGGCAGAAGGCAGAATTGATGAATTTTGACAAACAGCATGCTGTTTTATAAAATATTACTAGATCAAGCTGTGATATGCCAGAGACTGTATATGCTACTTTTGTAGCTAATATAATATTTTTATATATATGTAAAATCAGAACAGGTAAAATACTTTGCTTTTTAGAGAATACTGGAAATACATAGTTTCACATTTTTATACAGCAATTCTGCTGTTGAAATGGGTTTTTTTTTTTTGTACTGTGTCCTGAAAAATCATCAGCTCGCTGCTTTGAGGCTATATAAATTCAAGTTGTAGAGCAGAGTTGGTTCATAAATTTTTTTCTTACGAGTTTTTTCTAGTGCAATAACAAGAGGTAATCCATTTGCTTATTATTGCTACTCTATTAAAATTTTTGTAAATATTTCTGTCTAATTTGTAGGTAGTAGCTCAGTTCCAAATTTCTTTCACATCATGAAGCGACAGTTTACTGAGACAGAGTGGGATGTAATCAAGTCTATGAGTAATGAATGGATGCAGCTGGATATGTTTTATCGGCATTGGGTAATACTTTTTTCCCTATTTATACTCTGCAAACATGCACATTTTTTGATATAATTTATTATTTTCATCGTAGTAAAAATGTTACTTTTTATAGTTGCATAGAATCATAAAATGGTTTAGGTTGGAAAAGATCTCTAAGATCATCAAATCCTCTGCTAAACCATGTCCCTAAATACCACCTCTACCCATCTTTTAAAGAACTCCAGGGATGATGACTCAACCACTTCTCTGAGCATGCTGTCCCAGTGCTTCAAAACCTATTCAGGGAAGAAGATTTTCCTAATATCCAATCTAAGTCTCCTGGTGCTACTTGATACCATTTCATATGAAGATAAAAATAATTTTGATATTTTAATGATTTTTTTTTAATATCAGAATAACTTTGATAACCATAGTACAGCTGACATTTCTAGGATTTATTACTAGTTTTAAACACATGGCTAGAACAAGGTAGAGGGTTCATATCTATATGTGCCACTGGATAATTCCAGTTTCATGTTTATTGTAATGCAGAAAGTTAGGCTGGGTATTAACAATGTTGATAACTTTTTCTCTTGATAATTGCATCAGTCTACCCTCACATTTAGAGTAGTATAAGTCTTAAATTTATTTTGTCTACCATTTGTAGTCAGATGTAATGTTTATAGAACAGTTTGAAAACAACCCTTATGAATAAAATACACTTATTGTGTCTTTTAGGCCTTAAAGGAAAGCTTCTTAAAGGCTATTGGAGTTGGAATTGGCTTTAACTTGCAAAGAATTGAGTTTAATGTATCCCCATTGCAGCTGGAAGTAGGACAGGTGTATAAGGAGACAAAAATGCTTCTGGATGGAGAAAAAGAAGAGGAGTGGACATTTGAGGTAAGGAGTATGTTTTCACTAGTGATAAACAGTCTTGACTCCCTGTGGTTCCATTGCATATTTGATTTTTTTTTTTTAATTGCCACTTCACACCTTTACTCTGTATAAACCCAGTGAGCGTGTATCAATCAAAACTTAGGTTATAAAACTGCAGCAATTTAAGGTATTTTTAATGACTGCAAAAACACCCTGTAGATATATTCATTATAATGACTTTTTATTTTTCCTGTTTCTGGAATATGTTTCTTGCACTCTATGAGATTCATCCTAGGGTCTGCAGTCCACTGAAACGTATTCAGACCTATCTTCTTGAACAGTGTCTAAGACTTTAAAGGTCTTCATCAGTTGGTCTAGAATAGGCCTAGTGATTAAGCAACTCCATTAGTGTTTAGGTTAGATGTTTGAAATGGAGGAGGTGTCTTCAGTTCCACTGGGTTCTTATTTCTTGTCCCTACAAAAATGTGTTTTTGTGAGCTTGAAGTGGGTGCTGTCTGTGGGGGTGGACAGATGAAAAAACTTACTTTTGCTTAATTGGAACATCAGTTTGGGTTCAGTCTTCTATCTGAGCATTGGGGTTTGGGCTTTTGTTTTTCTTCTTCAAAGTTATTGAGGCATATCACTAAAACATCTATCCTGTTAGATTTGATAGGAAATTACTGGTATAATCTAAGGTAGTTTAAAGGATATATAGAGGAACAACTGATAGGGTCATAGTTTAGTGCTGGACATGGCAGTGCTGGGTTAACAGCTGGACTTGCTGATCTTAAACGTGTTTTCCAGCCTAAATGATTCTGATTCTATACAATGACCTCAAATTATTTAATTACCCTAAGAAACCAAGCTTTAAAAACAAATCACAATGCCGTATCTCTATGCCCCAGAGGCATGTTCATTTAACCACTTCAAGGAAGAAATGGAAAAAACAGAAAGTGCACTTTTCAGCAAGAGTATTCAGTTTCAAATACACGTTTACATTTTGAAAATATCTATGTTGTTGCAGACAACTGTTCCAGTAGAGCTGTCTAAATGATGAATTTCTTCTGTACACTTGTTTTGTTTAGTATACAAACTACTTGTACCCTATGCATGTGGTATAAAAGAATGAATGTACCAGTAATGTTTAACTTGTACTCCCAAGTTTATCTCTTCACGGCTCATTTCATTCAGTATTCCAATCCACTTTGGGGTTTGTATTATTTTACAAGTCTATCCATACTAAATCAGCCCTTTTACTCAATTTCTATATAGTATGGGAATATCAGTTTGTCATGAAATTCACTAGTTGGAGTTATACACTGAGAAAAGAAAATCTTGGGAAAGACTGTGACACATCTTGTACTAGAATGCTTTCTGTATTACTGCGGTGTAGCTCTTTAGGTTGATTTCTAGAACTCCTGATTTTGGTCTTTGACAACATGCCTGTGGTTGATTGACTCAAATAGCATGATGATGATGTAGATAGCTCCCTGTAATACTTAAATGCTTTCTAATTATTTGATTTTTCCCTAATACTTAGTAATTACTGCTGGAAGATTCATGTAACTTTTGTTTGAGGAATGTCTCCACTTCTACACTTGCCCTCCTGCTTCCCAAGAGCAAAGCCTTATAATGAGGCAAATTTTAGTGTTTCAAAGAAAGGGCTTAATATCAAGTTTCATTTAAATGCAAGCTCAATTAGGATGTGATTTTATTTAAATATCAACATTTATTAAAATGAAATAAAAAAATTCGGTTACCAATCCCCAGCCTAAAATTAAGCATCACTTTACTTTTTTGTCTTTTCTCAAGTTTCTTTTAATGTTGTGTCCATTTTCTTACTCAGAAAAGTCCGCTTCTGATTCTCTATTTGCCCTTGAGCCAGATTCTTGAAATAACTTGTTAATTGAAAACACTAAGTTTTGAGAAATCTGAGAGTCACCCAGGAACAGACATTAAGAATCACTTGTAAGATTGCATATTATTGATACAGTATTTTCATTGGGTTCCCTCTTGTACTGAGTTTGCTTGAGGGAGCTTTTCTATTAAATAAAAAAAAATAGTGATATCACTTTTACTTTTCAGATCCGCCTATATCTTTATGATAGGAGATGATCAAAGAGAGCTAGACATTGTTTAAAATTAAAATTTTCCCATGTTTTTGTCTCATTTCAGTTTTAGACAATCTAATTTACCAAAAACAGAGGAGAGAAACAAAGGGGATTTTATCCATTAAAATTACACAATATATTCTGAAATCTCCTTCAGAAAGTATTGTATGGTTTGAAGCTGGCTCCCTGCCAAGTCTCCAAACCTCACCACAAGAAGTCCCCCCCCAAACCTCAAGGAGAAGAGGAAAAAAAAAACAAGAGAACCAAATTGAGAGAGAGACAGCTAAAGCAATATATATAAATATATTTACACTTATATTACAGTTATATACAATTGAAATATATATACAATTTCAAAAGGAAAAGGGAAAGGGAAGGGAGAAGGGAAAAAAGAACACAAACAATATAAAATATACACGATCAATAGCCCAAGATCTAGCAACTAAAAGAATTAGCAAAAGAATATCTTACTACTCTCCTTGGGACAACAGAAAGTCATGCTGGAACGATCACCAGCAACCTCTGTCTCCCAACGTCAGCAAGGCCTTACCAGGCCTCGCTCCCCAACACAGCAGACTCAACAGCAGGGAACCTGCACCTCTAAGCTGCCAGAAGGAAAGAGAGCAAAGGCCTCTCTTCCTTTCTTTTTATAGTCTGGCTTACGTAAAAATCGTAGGGAATACTGGGTAAATCTGGGCATTTCCGGGGTTACAAACTGGTCACCAAGGAAGGCCCAGACTAAACTACCACAAAGTACCATGTCATGTGAAAAAAGACAACTTAAATGCGTAAAGACTAGAAAAAGATTCACTACCTTATACTTGTCATGCCTAAAAGGTCAAGAGAAATACTAATGAATCAGAACAAATCAAAGTTGACACTGTTCAGACACCCTGTCACTGTTCACAGTCAGAGCAAAGCCAATTCATATTGGAGATAGCATTTTCTGTGAACATTCTAAAAGACAAATTTATTGCATTGTGAGTCCAAATGAACTACTTTGTTATGTAGTTTACTGTTTGTGGGCCCTTTACCACAGGTTTAGTTTTGCTCTAAGTGTCTTTACCCTCCACTCCTTATATATTTTTGAACTTAGATGAAAGGTAGTAGCTCAGAAACAGCCTCTTCTTGTTTGATCTTGGTGGAATGATTTACCTTTAGGCACTTGTTTACAAACAGTACTCTAGAGATTGCTACACAGATTCCCTTCAAAACTGTTTCTGAAGGAGTAGGAGAAAAAATACTGTAAAATTTCATTTTATAACATCAATTTAATTTTAAGATCTGTCTACTATGTGTATTAAATATACTTTAATCATATAGACAGTGTATGCTTTCCTCATTTTGAAAAGGTGAATTTGTTTAGCAATAATTAAAAGATAACTAGCCCAGTGAAGAGTGATGACAGTATTTGTGTCAGGGTTTTAATTTAGGATGGAGTCATTATGATGATGATGGTTATAACGGGTAATTCTGTATGCTCCATTTATTTCCACTGAAAAAAATAAATTTAAAGATTTGTCCTGGTTTCATCTCAAATAGAGTTAATTTTCTTCCTAGTAGCCAGCATAGCACTGTGTTTTGAATTTAGGATGAGAACAGTGTTAACACACTGGCACACTAAGTCAAGAACTCTTTAGTTCCTCATAATGCTCTGCTGGTGAGGAGGCTCTGTGGTGTTAGCTGCCTGCTGGGTTAAACCACGACAAGAATGAAGTAGTAGTTAATTTCAGTAAAAGTGAAAGAAGTTGATTGAAAACAATTAAGACAAGTTTTATAATTTAAAGATATAAACATAAGTTTATTTTGTGTGTATATATATATTTCTTATATGTGGAAACATATATTGACACAGGAACAGGTTACCCAGAGGAGTTGTGGATGTCCCATCTCTAAAAGTGTTTAAGGCCAGGTTGAATGGGACCCTGAGCTACCTGGTCTAGTGGAAGGTGTCCCTGCGGTGTTAGAGCGAGATGACCTTTAAGGTCCCTTCCAATGTAAGACATCCTGTGAAAAAAAAATAAAAATCCTAATTACTGAGTCGCAAATGTTAAATGTATTCATGACTCTTTCCATCCCAGTTGTGTACAGTTGTTAAGGAAGAATGGCTGGAGAGCATTTTCAGAAATCTATATTGAAGAAGAATCTTAAATGAGATACAGAACATTTCTGTTTTGGTACCTACCTCGGTTTTGGATACAACTAGCTTAGGAAGGAAGCACACATTTTATCTTAAACCTTGCTCTGGAATTAAGAGTCGCTTGGCATCACTGCTGCTGCACAAATAATTGTTTGCATTTTTTCACAACAAATAGTTGCTTGGTTTGTTTATATGCAAATACATTACTTCCAGAACATGAATTTCAAAGAGAGATTACCTGGGTCAATTTGAAACATATTTAGTAATTGCTGGTGTGCAACTGTAGTTAGCATCTTTCACCTTCAGTAAGAGAAATTAATCCTGTTGCATTATCAGGAATAAATAGGAATAGAAAGTTTTATTTCTAAGACTAGCTAATCCGCCTGGATTCACGCAGCTATCAGTTCTGCTGTCTGGGAAGGTACAGTTTCCTCATAAGCTGTCTGTTGTTGGGTGAATTCATAATGATTTGAATCCCAGACACATCATTCCACCAAGTCTTTGAAATGAGATCATTATAAGTCTTGGTTGCCTGTAGCTTGAACAGCTCTAGTAACACTTTTGTTCTGTGCAGATAAAAACAAATTTTCCTCCATTATATGTTTTCTGGTTTATAGAGAGGAATCTTAACAAAACGAACTCTCTACCTCGAAGGAATTCTGTCCGATTGTCCTCTTTCTGTTTTCTCATCTATTTCCATTTAAGATATTAATTTTATAAGCTGGTATAGCAATATCTCCAGGGAGGCAAGCTGATCTGCTGTTTCAGTATGTTTCATTAACTCTGTAGCTTAAGGTTTTTGCTGGCCACTAGTAGACACATGAAGGACATGGTTTACTGTGTTCTATTGCAAGATGCTGAAAATTCTTTCATGACCACAGAGGATACGGGAAATAAATGAGCTGGAACCTTTTAAATTCACTGTTCATTGAGCAGGGTCTCTTCAGGGAATGGTCTGTCTAAAGAGTCACTGCCTGTTAAACACAGCTTTGAACTGAGAAAACATTATTAACAATGTGTAAAATACTATCTATAATATGTTTTTAGTTACTTAAATAAGAAGTAATACGTAAGTTGACTTCACAAAAGGAAAATTCAGTGTGTTTAACTTAAAACCATAACACAGTTGTTTGTAGACTTCTGACTACAGGTGTAAGCCAGTGCTGAATGTGCTGTACTGTGTCCTCTGTTCTGATCTGTCTTTAACCTCTTGAACAAGAAAAAAAGAAAAAAAATTGATAGAAGGGGGAAATGAAGTGATAAAAAGCCCAATGTAGTAATTTTTCCATCTAGACAAGCACAAAACACTACTAGCCTAGAACCATATAAATTATTTAGGAACACCTGACTGAGCATCTAATTTTCATAGTCTTTTTTATTTTCGATGAAGTTACAGAAATGCGCACACTGTGTACGAATGGTTATATTTCATCAAACCTCCAAAGTAGCATTCTTTATTTTCATTCTTTTATTTTCAGTTTTGTTCCCTAGTAAAGGAACGGAAAACCCAGTAAAATACTTCGTAGTGAATACATCTGTAGCTCTTGCAGTCGTGGGAAATACTGCTTATGTTGTAGGTTTGTTAGTGTTTCTTGTGATCACTAAACATTTTTCCTAATCTAGACAGAATTGAAACAGTCATTTTCTTACTAGCACTTTGCAGGAAGGTAAAACAGCATGAGCTCAATGTTTTGTGTTTAAGTAGGTGAGGGTTAAAAAGTTCACAACTAAAGCTGTCAAGCAGGCACAGTTTTGGTGCTGAAGAGATCAAAGTAAAAACATAGCTCTACTTCCTCACCAGCACCTTTCTGCCAAGGCTCCCACGTTTGCCAGAACAGTCTCCCAACTTTGCAACTGTACTGCTGCTACACATGGCTGGAGCAGCTGCTGTCTTGGCTGAGCTGGGCTGAGTAGATTTGAGCTGAGTATCTTGGCACTTTTTTATATATAGGGCTGTTTGGGAATCACGGAAATGGTATCGTGGCAACTGAAATATTAGAAAATTCTGTATAGTAGATGAACTGTAGAGAAGCCTAATGCAGACTGACAGCATTGTTTTAAAAGACATTTTGCTTAGATTAAAAGGGGAAAAAACAGGGCAACCAACAACCTGTCAGAGGAAATAGGAGGACATCCTTTTTAACATCTTTATCGATGATTTAGATGAGGGGATTGAGTCCATCTTCAGCAAATTTGCTGATGACACCAAATTGGGAGGGAGTGTCGACCTGCCGGAAGGCAGGAGGGCTCTGCAGAGGGATCTGGATAGACTGGAGAGATGGGCTGACTCCAATGGAATGAAGTTCAACAAGGCCAAGTGCCGGGTCCTGCACTTTGGCCACAAAAACCCCCTGCAGCGCTATAGGCTGGGCACAGAGTGGCTGGAGAGCAGCCAGGCGGAAAGGGACCTGGGGGTGCTGATCGACAGGAGGCTGAACATGAGCCAGCAGTGTGCTCAGGTGGCCAAGAAGGCCAATGGCATCCTGGCCTGCATCAAGAACAGTGTGGCCAGCAGGAGCAGGGAAGTGATCCTTCCCCTGTACTCTGCATTGGTGAGGCCACACCTGGAGTATTGTGTTCAGCTCTGGGCCCCTCAGTTCAGGAAGGATATTGAGGTGCTGGAGCGGGTCCAAAGAAGAGCAACGAGGCTGGTGAAGGGACTTGAGCACAAGTCCTATGAGGAGAGGTTGAGGGAGCTGGGGTTGTTTAGTCTGGAGAAGAGAAGGTTTAGAGGTGACCTCATCACTCTCTACAACTACATGAAGGGAGGTTATAGCCAGGTGGGGGTTGGTCTCTTCTCCCAGGCAACCAACAATAGGACAAGGGGACATGGGCTCAAGCTCTGCCAGGGGAGGTTTAGGTTAGATGTTAGGAAGAAATTCTTTACAGAGAGGGTTATCAGGCATTGGAACGGCCTACCCAGAGAGGTGGTGGATTCACCATCCCTGGAGGTTTTTAAAAAGAGATTGGACGTGGCCCTTAGTGCCATGATATAGTAATTGGAGTTGGATCAGGGGTTGGACTTGATGATCTTGGAGGTCTTTTCCAACCCAATCTATACTATACTATGATACTATGATATTTGCTTTATATTATAATATAGTGCAGTTAGAATGTTTCCCAAGGAAGCCAAAACTGGAGATTCAGTCTTACATTCCAGGAGAATATTTCAATGATTTTCAGGTTAATGGCGATATCTAAATCATTCACTTTTCTAGGTAAAATTCTTGTTATTCTTGATTTCTGTTTTAGAAAGTCTGTGAAGAAATTATTTGAAAACTTTTGGATAAAAGAGCAAGGAAAGTTTTATTTCCTCCCCTTAACGTATATTTTAAAAAACCAGTGGAATTATGACTACTATAAGATAAGCATTATTCAGAAAGAGTATATAAAAGGGTTTGCTTTCTTTTTTTTTTCTGAAATTATTTGTTTAGGGTGAATTCTTAACCTTTGAGGAAAACACTTTCAAGTAAAACTATTAAGTAAGTAAAAACTCTATCACTAAATATATAGTTCGGTATCTAAAAATGTTGAGAAACATTGATTTGTATTTACACATATCAGTGCTCAGACTGTGTGTCGGGAATTTAAAGTTGTGCTCTTACCTGCTGTTTGAAGACAAGAGTAAGAGAGTCATTGGTTTAAGTTTACAGTTAAAATCATTGTTTTTCAGAATACCTTCCAGGAGTTCAGTTCATCTCATTGGAAAATGGATAGCTAAGATGGGTTATATGGTTTGTCACTTAGAAGGGACCAGTAAAGGAACGCTGAGGTCACAAACTTGAATATAAATATCTACAAATGGGTGAGGTGATGATAACCTATAGTAACCAGTTCAGCCCTGCTAACTTTTTAATGTATCAGCATCACTGAGCTCTCCAACAAGACTGCTAAAAACTACTCTTGTTTTTTTTAATGTTTTTATTTTAAATTATGGTCTGCTATTGTTCTGAACCATAATCTAAACATTTATATAGTCTTTGCTGAACCAGTAAAGAAAATGCATTTCCATTGCCATTTTTTATCTTTACTAGGAAACCCGGTTCGATGACCATCATCATGTTGCAGTGGCACTCGGAAAACAGACGGGATTTGTGCAAAAGGATTCTGATGTAAGAAATTATGAAACAGTTTCAGGTCTTGTTAATCATCTGAACATAAACTTATTGTTACGCTGTAGCTAAAAATGTGTTATCTCAGATTTAGGGCCAAGGAAAATGCTTATCTTAAGCACAGTTTTAACCAGAACCAAGCAGTATTACTGAACTGTTTCCTGTAGTTATATTGTGTCTGTTTCAGGAGAGGTCTGGGAAGGAGAAATGCTTTCAGAAGACAGCAACAGATAATGTCAGATCTGGAATGCAGTGATCAGTGTATTCATTCAAGAGACGATTAAGTGATTTTTGTCACAGCCTGCTAGTACTCATGTGGGAAAGATGGTCTTCACAGAGGGAAATGGAAACAGTGAACCAATCTGAACTTGCTAAACTTGTATGACACCTCACAAAGTTGATTTTAATGGGGGACTGTCAGTGTGTGTATCCCGGAGCAGATCCATTGCTCAAACACCATTATGACAAGATAACCCTTGAGACAAACAACAACAACCAGCAGATGGGAAGAACAGCAGTGTTAGTCTTCATTCCATGTGGTGTCTATTGAGAGAAGGAACAAAGCTACTTAAAAGCTTTTCAGGATTTTCTGTGCAATTTAACAAAGATCTCAGTCATAAAATAGCAATAAAAGTCAAAATTAAGGGAGAGACAGACTGGCAAGTTGTAGCTGAAATAGCCAGACAATCAGAAAAGGAGAGTGTGACAAATTACCAGACTTCTTCTTGCTCACAAGAAAATGGGTTAGTTGTTTTCTGTTATTTACATACAAAGGTTCTACCAGGAACTAGAAAAAACGTAGTGTAGGAATGGATAAAAGTATAGAAGTGGTAATGCACACGTCTGTCATGGTAATAAAGTCTGTCTGTGTTCATGAATAACACAAAGAGGCAGACCTTTTAACTAGTGTTGGGTAGGTTAAAAAGAAAAAAGAGGTATAAACTGCCTTTGGGGTTTTACTGTGTTAAATCAGTGTACAAATACTATTTTAAGAAAATACATTCTTTCTACTAGACAGGACATATTTAAGTTCCCAGTAGGATGGCATATCATTCTTCTGACAGGAATACTGATAAATGCAGTCTGAGATGAAAAGAAGATGGTCATTATTTATAAAGACAGCTACCTAAGTATGCTACAAAAATCCAGGATTTTTAAGTGTTGACCTTCATCACCACTGTCACATGCCTTGAAGTTATCATAGGAAGAATAGTAATGATATCAAGAATTATGATGAGAAATCTTTGAATCAAGAGAAGTCTCAAAGGCATACTTGTCCACTGACTAGATTTCTGATGGCCTGAATTTCATTATCTCAGTTCACTGAAAAAAGGTCGTTTTAAGCAGGACTACTGAGCATCCTATGACTCCCCAAAAGAAAAATTAAGTGAAAATTTATATACTATTGCATTGTACCTTTTTAGACCTCCTTCTAACAGGAACATGAAGGAAATGAAAATTACCTTCTCTCTGTGTAACAGAACTGTAAAAAATGATTTTGTTTTAAATGTCTTGCTAGATGTGTTGAGAGAAAAAGTTGTTCATCCTTGTTAAATACGTGCAGTTGTTCCAGGATGTCAGTGTTTGAGTTTGTTCCCCCTCTACAATCACAGGAATAATTCATTATGTCCTGTTTGCAGAACATGTACGTTCAGCTTTCTTCTTATACTGATAGCAAGTACCTACAATGCACAGGAAAGACCAATCGTTACATTAATGTACTATAGTGAAAAATCTCTAGTGTCAAGAATCTTTACAAAGTGTCTGCTAGTGACTGCTATATGCTTTAAGAAACAGAACATGTATCTGCAGTGTTTACTGAGATCTAGACAATCTATGGCAAATCTCAATGAAAGAGGGCTGAATTTATTATTCTTTATAATTCCTTTGTAGGCTATAAAATATCTTTTTGTCTGTCACTTGCTAAATTTCACAAGATTTGAGATGGATTCAGTCAGAACACACTTGTCTTCAGATAAGCATGCGCTGAAGTTCAAACTAGATCTGTTAACATCTCCTTAGCTCTGAGCCTTAGTTCATGTTTGGTATGCATCTGTGATGTCACTTACATGGCTCTAGGCACAGTTCCTTCAGTTTTACCTCATCTCCAAAATGTCAGATGAACAGGAATGTCTCAACACTATGTAATTTGTGTAAGGACATAAAGTGACAGCCAGCTCAATAACTTCTGGTTTCAGTCTGTATTGACAACTTAGAGTTTTTCTGTGCAGTTACAACAAGCAAAACCCATTTTGTTGTCTCTGCATTTATTCCTAGCAGTAGCTTACTGCTCAAACACTGAAATGGAGAGTAGACCTTTTTGCACTTTTACCTATTTACTGACCCACCTTTATTGATGTGACAGAAAGGGACAACAAAATCCTCAAAATAGACCTTAGATGGGATCATCTGCAGCACTGGTACGTGAGCAAGAAAAGGCCTACAAAGTACAATTATGAACAAATTCCCCAACCTTTCTCCAGGAACTCATCATACTGGGGTCCCTTTACAGTGCCTGTACACTAGTCCAAACAATATGAGGAATAAAGTATCATCTCTGGAAAGGTGGCAGAGCAGCTAATTCTGGAAACCATTTCCAGACACAGCAAGGACAAAGAAATCATCAGGACTGGTCAGCATAGCTTCACCAGGAGAAAGTCATGGTTAGTAAACTTCTGCAATGAAACAACCGGCCTGATAGGTGAGGAGAGAGCAGTGGATATTGTCTACCTGTGTTTCGGTACTTTCTACCTCTGGCACTTTCTCTCAGAAGATCCTCCTGGAGTAAATGTTGATATGTGTACTGGGTGAGCAGGCAGTAGGTGTATTGAAAACGGGCTGAACAGCTGGGGCCAGAGCATAGTGATAGTGGTAGAAGGTGTGTTTGGAGGCCTATAACTAATGATGTAGTCCAGTGATCAAAACTGGGTCCAATCCCATTTAACATCTTCATTAATGAAACTGGATGATGGTGCAGTGCATCCTCAGCAGGTTTGCTGGTGACACCAAACGGGGAGGAGTGGCTGATATACCAGTGGGTCATGCTGCCACACCAGAGGGCCTTGGATAGGCTTAGGCTGTGTCAGACATGAGTCAGTTTGTGTGATGTACAGAGTACTCCCACTGCAGAGGAGCCTTGCTGAATTTTATCAAATATTAAACATTAAGAATATGTTGTTTGAGCAAATGCCAGTTTAGAAGAATCAACCGTATTTATGTTGGATTCATGCAAGCTGTACTATTTGCCCTGCTGTCTGGGAACAACTTCACTTGGAGAAGGCATATACAGCAGGCTGCACAGTAACATGTGCTCAAAAAAAAACCCAGATCTTTTTTTCTTTGAAACATGATTTTTCTCGGAGCGATGAAACTAACATGGAAACCATGACACTCTCATCTCCAATATCTTGGTCTGCATTTAATGTGGATTTAACATGGGGAATGGCGGGTTGGTTGTGACTGCTTTAGTTCTTAAGTAGCGTTTTGAGTTTGAGAGAGGCATGCACAACCATGAGGATTACTGGTATTAAAAGGAGTATGAATAGGCACACCTCTAGTGGAATGAATCCTCATGTAATTGTCTCAAATAATCATATCTGGTGGAGAATGAAGTACAATCTGTTTGATGGTGATCTTTGTCTTTCTTTTTTACTGGACTTAAACACTCTGTTGTACTCACAGCATTCTATAGCCCTCGTTCTGTCAGTTTTGTGAACTTGATTGTGAAGGAAAAACTTGATTTTTCTGTGTGGCCTGTCAAATGCTTCTGTTAGTTAATGATAGCCTGAATTAGGGGCGGTGACACTAATCTCAAATGCAGAATATTTCCTTTCTTCTTCAGTAAGCAGTGTGTAGTTTAAATTGGACAGAGAATTTTACAGGAAGGAAATTAATGCTTATTGATTCGTGTTATGCTAATATGTGTTTCCTTTAGGTACGTTCCATGGAGCCTAACCCACCACAGTTTACGTTACTGACTTTTGAAGATTTAGTTGCATCTGGTATTCCAGTTGCACCTGAGGATTCTGCATATTGGGACAATTTTTGTTCAAAGCAGGAGAGTCCAGTGCAACAGAGTTCACATTCAAGATAAGAATGCTTATAAGAAAAAGAAAATTGTTGAAGATTTCGTGCTGTTATTCTACATAATTCCAAGTATGGGAATAAGTGCATGTGTGTAGATGAAGTGTGTTTTTCATTATTTAAATTAACAACCTGATTTTCACCTTTTCAAAATTGATACTTTATCAGAATCTTAAGGAAGATACAAGTTTCCTTGCTTAAGGAATTCTGAGTGAAAAGCCTAAGATGGCCACATGCTTTTTTGCATCTCCTTGACTGTGGTTCTCACACTTTGATAAATATCCATGCTAGGAACAGAAAGCAGACCTACAATAATGTTGTTCATTAGTTAACAAGTGTTTAGTATATAAAAATGTGTTTCCATATTTCATTTTTGCTGAAGCTTAAATTATGATACTGCTTTTTCTCTTATAAATATAACGGGTTTATTCTCAGATGAATGAATAAAACCAGAAAACTGGTACAAATGAACTGCAAATATGGGGTGAGATGAATAGAGAAATTTCAGATCTAGATTTCTGGGGATAAAGGAATAAATTTCATATTAGAGATTAGTTATTTCTACATAGAATCAGTGTCTCCAACCAGAATTTTTCTGTCATTGGAAAGAGTATTAAAAGTATTAATAAAATTATTTATAATACCGTGCTTGCATCCAAGGAGAGGACAAACCAATTTTATTAAATTAGAAAATTGCACTTGGTTTGCTTACCAGGAGTATGATAGTTTTCACAACTGTATCTAAATAGAAAGGTTACAAAACCAAAGGTGTTTGTTTTGGTTAGTTTTCCATGAAGTAAAATCATAGTTTCCAGTGATTCAGACAGAATCATGTAGAAGATTGCAGTTACTCACATTATGATTTTTTCCAAGTCTTTAATTTACACTGAACTGTTTGAAAAGTAAGACTAATTTCCTTTTAAATCTTAGATAGCAATGAGATTAGTTGATGGGAATGACTTGTGAAAAGCCACTTGAGTCATGTTGTTTCATGCAGTGCAAATGGACAGAATTGTTACACTTCCTTTTACTGCTGTGAGAAAGAGCAGCTGGATAGTTGTGGAATTACCAGCTAAAAGCATGCTGCTAAAAGACAAGCAGGACATTCCGACTCCTTATGAATATGAATGATCCTTCTTGAAGTCATTAGAAATTTTTCTGGGCTCTGTGGTGTGGAGGCATATATTGAAACAAGTGCTGTTTGTGTGTACAGATAAATTAATCTCACAGTTCTAAGATTAATGTTTGGGGTTTTTTTATATTTCACTATCACACTTTTCACTATTATAAACATAATTGAGCCCTATATCCAGACATGGCCATAACACTGACTTCCTTGCATTTCCTCTCAATATGGTCTTAATGGCTACCGAGTTCCTCTGCTGTTTTAGAAATACTGGTCCAGCACAGCTCCAGCTTCTCACACTAGTTCAAGTTCTTGGCCCAGTCCAGTGCAGGTGAGCTGACCTTTGCTGTCTCCCATCATTCTCCTGCAAGAAGTGTACCAGTTACATCTAGAAGCCTTCAAGACTTTATGTTCTCCAGAGCTCCATTCCTTCATCTGTTTTGTTTTCTAGATACTGTCCTTGGCATGACCATACTACATACCTGGGTCCTAGAGGGTAAGCTGCAAAATCGCAAGCTCTGCGCTACATGAGCCTTTTCCAGCAGGGTCTTGGCTAGGTAGTCTTTTTCACTGTGGAACAGGATTGCCCAGCCTTCCTGTTTCTCTCTCATAGAGATTTAGGTCAGATCTACTGGCCTAGACTGTGTATCAACCCAGTGTTTTCTGAGAAGAACTTGTTAATGGTCTCTGATCTAAAAATAGTTTTAAAAGTTTTGGTCTTCAGTGAAAAGATTGTGCAAAGGGAATAAATGTGGTTTAGTTTGGACCCTGAGATTAGCTCAGTCTGGTTAGAACAGGGTTGCGGGTTCAGTCCCTGCTGTACAGGCCATTCACTCTATGATGCTGGTGGGTCCCTTCCAACTGAGAATATCATGTACCTCTGTGATTATATTACCGTGTTCAAACCTTTTTGTATCTTGCATCAAAATTGTCAGAGTGGATTAGGAACTTCAGGGGTCAAAACTGTGTTCAAGGCAATTTGCAGTGATGTGACAAGAGACCGGTGCCATTTGATATGAAAATCTGTAACTTTTCAAAGTGGATCATGAGAATTCACTCCTAGCCTTTTACAGAATCTGTAAACTTACACAAGATGCATATTGTTACTACCTTATGGGATCAAATGCATTAATGTGCTGTCTTAGACAAGAAATCATAGATGCTGCAACAGAAGTAGTGTATATATGATTGTAATATACATATTTTTGGTAAAATCCAGGCAACAGCTCAACTTTAAACAACCATCTTGACCCAAGACACTACAATAAAGCAATGATCTGCAAAGAAGATAGAAAGGAAAAGATAGTTATACAAGTCAGCATAGACTGCCTCTTCGTTGGAGCTTTACAAGATTATGGTACTGCATTTAACAAAGAAGATAAGTGGTTCTTGGTTCAGAATTGATGCAGCCAAGTTTAAAAGAGCCTGTACTCCTTAACTGCTGGCTAATTCTGCAGGTGTCTAGACATCCTGATACGTGCTTCATTATCCTCCAGAATACAGATAGTTTGGAAATAAATTCTGAATTCTCAAGAGAGAAAACAATTCAAAAATGTTTTGTTTTTTCTTCAAAAAGTCACTTTTTGTAAGATGTTATATTCTTGTGGTGTACATGCAGTTTTTTATGGCCAGATGCTAAATATGAATCCTGTTTCTTCTAAGATTGAGTATAGTTTCTTTACTGAAATAAAAAGTGGGTTATTTTGTGTTTGTGTTGTCTATTTGTGGTTATTTTTTTTATCTTGCTGTTATTTAGATCCAGACATAGAGGAGATTACTGAAACACTTGTCTTGCAGTCCTCTGCTGTTTTGGAAACAATTCATAGGACAAAACTGTATATTCTTAATAATATCCTTTGGATGAATCATGATTCAGAGGTCTGGATCAGCTGTCCACTCCTTGCCTCCTACAATTTTAATTCCATAACGTGCAACGCAGTTTCTTGGCTTAACTCTGACAGAATTCTATGTTGGAGTGAGTGTCTCATCATTTGGTCAAAATTGCAGTAGTGTGAAGCTTAATGCTCGTAAGGAAGATACACATTTTCAAGTACAAGGCTACAGTGCTGCACAGTGTTGCTTACACATGTAAGGAGATATCTGAAGATTTGTTTTTTAATTATGACGTAGAACACAAAGGTTCTTTAGGTTGTAGTAGGAGCTTCACACAGAAAAAGAACTTTTACTTGCACTGTGATGTAAACAGGAAGAAAATTGGTATTTCAGCTGAAATGCATGTTTTGTTCTCCAACATGTAGAGTACTTAA